TGATTCATTTTTGATCTATTTTGACCGACCTTTCTAAATGAAGCTAGTTTGTTCATAACTAGTGAGTCATCACGATCATCATCATCATCCAGGCTGTCTAGGCAGAATTTGGCTCCATCATCTCTTGGATCAAAAGGATCAACAATAATCGGTTCGGTACCTTTGATTTCACAACGGCAAAATGGGCATCCCTGTCCATCAGATTCCTACATAGAAAATAAATCTCATATTACATAAAAGCAATGATAAGTCTACGTTTTTAGGTCATAGTAAATTGGAAGGAGGTTTTCAGCATATAATTAAAATCTATTTCACTACAAAGATTAATGTAAAATTCAAGAAGCTAAAACCATCTGCCTGTTGAACTTATTTTGTTTCTCATTTGAAGCCTAAAGCTCATTAATCGCAACAAATAAAATATAGTACAAAACATGGAAGTTTTGTTTTAAAATTTTTCATTACATTTGACTATTAAACTGAGTAAAATACGCTGTGTGGAAATTATGAAGAACATATATGGACACCAAATGCACTCGGACTGCAACCTGAAATAAAGCTAATCAAAAGCAAATTCAACATCATCAGTACTTGTGAATTTATAGACATTCTAGACTCCCAATGTTTACTTTACTGATCAGAAATGTGAATGATTAAAAGCAATGTATTACATTATGGATAAAACAATGTAAATTGATTCTTCAAAAGGTTACCTTAATAAGGCATTACAACTGGCACTATGACGGAGGGAACAATGAAATGTCTATGGCACAAAACTACTAATAGTCTTCTTCCACAATTGAAATGCAAAAGTATCTAAGATTGGCAGTCGTTTACATCAGTCATTCAAGGAATTTGATGCTCATATTGATACAAAAAAGCAGAATGGTTACTGTACAAAATAGTTTACAACAATGCAGAAACCAAGTTCTTTTTTCTGACAGGGAAGGATATCAAATCTTTAAGCATCACCTAGGAATTAATCAACTAAAAGGAGAATTATTAGTGAGCAAGAATGAACAAAAGCATGGGCCTTAATACTTACAGGGAAAACATGAAGGAACATACAAGCGCAATAAATCTGTCAAAGTCAGAGATCCAGAGGCTGTGTCAAAGTTAACACAGGATCTCAGTGTAATGGATAGTGAAGGGAAGTGGGAGGAAAGAAGCCAGAGTTGGCAGAGGGAAACCCAAATTCCAAGGGAAACACTCCTGTTCCTCTTGACTCACAAAAGAATAATGTAAAAGGTGCATGACGCCCTTGAGCTTTTACTTTCCCGCTCAATTGTTAATAATAAATCAACAACACTTACTAAAAACTCCTATCTAGTATCCACCTACTAAAAAACATTCGTAGCAAGGTTGTATTTAAAAAAAAAAGTTGGTAAATGTTTAATATAGGAGTGAGGAATTCTATTTTGCAATGAATTGTTACCAAAACCTTAAGGAAATTTGGAAAGTTCAAGCACTCCTCAATTTAAATTAGAAACTTCAAAGACGCTAGATTTCTTTGTAAACTAAAGTTAGATATAAATCTATTACTGTGAGGGATTACACTTCCCTACTTAAGTGGAAACATAACATTTTAGTGGGACAAAGCTTCCTGTAGGTTATGTTTGTGTTTTCAATTTTCTTTGATTTTAAATCTATCACAGATTTTCTTTTGTCTGCCACGGAATTCCCCAGCTGTGGGAGAATTTCTCTGTTTCATCCAAAAAAATTGGTCCCTCAACACATAATATTTCAGTTCATTCAAGAAGTTCAAGAGAGGAGGCGGCACTTGGGCACCTTGTTTTATCTTCCAATATGGTATTCAGATTCTAAGGTTCATTGATAGTCCTCTTGAATGTTATAAAATTAAATGAAATGGGCAGCAAATCACTCTGTAGACTCTGTATCTATAAAGGATTCTGCACTCAGCCACATACCTGCCACGCTGTCAGACAAGAAGTGCACATTAAGTGACCACAGGGCTCAATCTTCACGTCCTTATCATTTTCAGCACAGATTTTACACAACTGAAATGTGGAGCCCATCTCACAATACAGCTCGTATTGTTCCTAGATTGAAAATTATATTTTACTCTTGATGCATTTACAAAATAAACCAGTTAGCAACATCATCCACGTACATTTTCAGAAAATAAAACGAAGTCCTCTAGCCCTATTCTTCTACTCAAGCTGCTCTGTAACCAAATGAACCAAAAGATAGAACAGGCATGGCCTAGTATGCCATACAATCCTGTCCTTCCTCCTTTATTTGTACAAAAGCTTAACTTGAAGTTTTCTGCAGTTATTAGCAAGCCCCTCAACTTTGATCGAGTGCTTCTGTTACACAAATGATGAAATTATAGCATTAGGGTGATTTAGTTGAAATTAGATGCCACCTGAATCAGTGCACAAATCCGGTACTGTCTGTGCACATAGTACTTGCCTTCAGAAGGAAATTTATCTGCTAGCTTAATTACTGCAGCTTTAAAGGCAACTCGCTTTTCTGAAAAATATCTGCCAGACTAGATAACAGCTGAGATTGTAAAGAAAGATCGGGGGTGAAAAAAGATTAATCAGTGGCTAGCTACGACTTGCAAATGCAACATAGGACAAGCATCTTTGGTGCTTCTGGTTCCACTACAACAAAAAGAACTTAAAATGTAGCAATCTCACAGTAGCATTCTCCAGCATTCTCTTTAATGACTGCTGGTTTACAGCCAAGTGCATGAGGAAACTGAAAACATTACACGTGATACAAGCAATGGTTACTCGCAAAACAAATTTTGAGATGCAGGCTTAAGGATGCCTATCACTATATGCAATGGGCCCAATGACTGTTTCAGGCATTTACGCTGGATGCATACGTGGCAGCCTTTATTAATAATGACAAGGAGCACACTTGTGGCATAGAGTGACAATGGCTGCAGGCTGCTTACCATTTTACAGGTGTTAAATTGTAATGATAAAATCCAATTTCTAGACTGCAAAGATCTAACCTAAATCCAGAATCAATTATCTTACCTGTGTGACTTTTATATGATCATGAGGTGTTGGTTCACACAATCCAGTAAGATCTGGATTGTAACTTCGTCCATCCGGGTATAAATAACTAAATAAAATGAAACATTCTTTACATATTTAGAACAATAAAATCATTATCAAAGACAGTGAAACAGATTTTGAACTCTATTGCTTCAGTGTCAGTTTACCATTGATCATAAATCAGGGTTACAAGAAATATAATGAAGAAACTTTATAAAGAAAAATCTGCTTTATCAAATACATACAATTCTTCTCGGCATCCGTCTATGAGGGCTTGGAAGAGTGGTTTATTGTGCGGTATGGTCTGCAAGATGTTTCCCTCATTTGTGACATAACCAATGGCCCACTGTCCAAGCCGAGTGCAGCTGAGTCTAAAGATGTAGCTGGAACACAAACAGAAAAAAAATTGAGTTTGCACATACAGTGCAAACCTCTTCTCTGAATCATCAATTTTTAAAAACTTCCACAAGACAATTAAACTAATAATCAAACATTGGAGTTAATCAGCGTACACATAAAAAAGTTACACAAAAAAAATTAACCCTGATGACTCATACTTTATAAAGGTATTTACTATTATTTTGAAAAATGATGGCCAAGACTGAAATTATTACTTGAGTAAGTTATCAATATGCAAATCATAGGCATTAAAAGAATTAGGCAAATCATAGTGGATAAATTCCTTCAAACTTAGTAATGTTTTTCTGGCAACATGATTAACTTGCATGTCACAAGAAAAGGGGTTCAGACTTTTTTTTAAATACAGGGACAGTACTCAAGTTATTCAAAATTAAATAATGAGAAAATGTAGCCGGCAGACACAGATTTCAATTATGTGCCCTTTGTAAAATTATTTAGCAGCAGTTTTAACATATAAAGTAACCAAATAAACTTCCAATAAAACTACTAAAAATTAATCATCAGAAATCAGAATGGTGTGAAATTACATCCAAACTGCAGAACAATCCAATCTTAAATGACCAAAACAAAATCATGGAGATGTAATAAGGCACTTGAAGGTTCAGTATTAAGTTGTTGGAAGTGCATATTAGTTACACGTTTTAATTTGTGGATACTCTTATATGTTACATTGCTGATAAAATCTGTGTGACCGAAGGATAGATCTTAAAATGCTGATGAAAATAACCATATCTCATAGTAACTGAAATAAACAATAAAGAGTACAGTAGTAGACTTCAGGAGAACATGGTTGGACTGGTAAAAGAGACAAACTTATGGCAAATCAAATTTTATGTAGGCAAGTAGTGATACATTCTGGTAGGAGAAATTAGAACAGGTAATATAAAAAGGTACAATTTTTAAAAGGTGTAATTACACCACACCAGCTGTAATTTGCTTACAATAATCTTAAATCTGCTCATTACAACAGTGAACACTTTGGCATATTCTTTGGCATGTAAGGCCATGACTACAGAAATGTAAGTCTTTATTTTTATCATTCAATGATAATCTTAGGCAGGAAGCAAATCTGATTCTTCTTTCTTTCTTGGCTGAATTAATACAAATTGAACAATTTCAGTAAAAACAACACTGAAGATTTTTTCCAGAATTTCAATATTATCAATTGATAATTTAATTAATCAATTGCATTAGATTTTTAAGAAACATGGTCCACAGCACATGATGACAAAGAGCGGACCACAATAACAAAACATCTTGCACAACATACATGTAGAAATATGCAGAAGTTGCTGTCCTGATAAGGAAAACTACATTAGTGACTGAAAGGTTGTAGATTATAATTGTTAAAGTTAAGATTGAAATGGACAGGAGTAATGATGGCGGCAGTAAATCATTAACAGATAACTGCTACAGATCTCCAACTTAAAGTTAGAAGGGTGGCAAAACACTGTTTAGGCAAATGAAGAGAAAAGGAGAGATTATACATTCCCAAAGATCAAATAGAAAGTACTGGTACATACAAAAGGAAATTCACTCAGGCAGTCAAGAATTAATCTGGTAACACAGCACTTAAATGATTATTGCCAAAATATAAATTAGAGTCTCACATTAGCTAAAAAAATTAGAAGTTGCTAATCTTATGGCTACTAGAAACTCCAATAAGTGCTTTATGGCATTATTTCCATTGATATTAAGGAGATATTAAAAATGTATTTCTCAAAAGTTACACAATGGCAAACCAACAGCAGAAAAGATTTACAAGGATGTTGCTGGGACTGGAAGATTTGAGCTAAAGGGAGAGGCTGAATAAACTGGGAACTTTTTGCCCCTGGAGTGTCGGAGGCTATGGGGTGATCTTATAGAGGTTTACAAAATCATGAGGGGCATGGATAGGGTGTATAGCCAAGGTCTTTGTCTTGGATGGGGCAATCCAAAACTAGAGGGTATAGGTTTAAGGTGAGAGGGGAAAGATTTAAAAAAGGACCAAAGGGATAACGTTTTCATGCAGAAGTATGGAATGTACGAATGTATGGAACAAGCTGCCCATGGAAGTGGTGGAGGCTGGTACAACTACAATGCTTAAAAGGCATCTGGATGGGTATATGAATAGAGGTTTAGAGGGATATGGGTCAAATGCTGGAAAATAAGACTCATCAGAATGGGATGTCAAGTCAGTGCATACGATTTGAACCAAAAGGTCTGGTTCTGTGCTGTACAACTCTATTTGACAGCTTAAAATGATTACAACTGAAAATGTTGGAAACGTCACCTGTGATGTGATGCACTCTGGAAGAAGTAACAAGACAAAGGAGTACTCAAAAATTGTCAGGACATCAGGAAGCTCAGTGGAAGAGATTGATTTTGGGATGCATGTCCACTGATGCCTGAAACTAATAGGCTGGTTAAGGCAGCATATGGGATGGTTGCCATCATCTGTCCTGGCACAGATTATTCCAGCAGGGATGTTATGATGGAGCTGTTAAATAAGATCTGGTTTGACCAGAGATGGAGTACAGCATGCAATTCTGGTCAGCAGACTGTAGGAAGAATGCAACTGCACTTGAGACGGTGCAGAAGAAATTCACCAGGATGTTGTCTGGGTTAGAGCACGTGAACAGAGGCTGGACAGGTTTGATTGTTTTCTTTAAAGCAGAGAAGGCTGAGACAGTACTTGATAGAGGTGTATAAGGTTGTCAGTGGCATGGACAGGGTGGATAGGAAGCAGCTGTTCCACTTCATTGAAGGATCAACAACAAGGGGACATAATTTTAAGGTGAAGGAAAGGAAGGTTAGCGGGGATTCAAGGAAAATCTTTTTCATCCACAGGGTCATGAGAAACTGGAAAGCATTTGTCTGGGAGGGCAGCAGAGGCAGAACATCATAATGTTTAAGGCCAAATGCGGGAAAGTGGGATTCGTGTATATAGGTCATACGTGCTGCATGGCTCTGTCTGTGAGGAGCAAGACAGTTAACGAATCAGATCTGAAACGTTAGCACAACATAATTCCTCTCTATGGATGCTGCTTCACCTGCTGAATGTTAATATTTTTATTTCAGATCTCCAATATCTGCAGAATTTCATTCATGTATATTATCTGGTTAGGTGATTGACAGCAGCAACACCAGTAACTCAGCAACTAGTTTAAATGCTGATGCATGGTTGTCCAGCGATCAACACCATTCCTAAAGATAAGCCATCCAAGGCTTCATTGAGCTAACAGCACTCTGCCATAGAACACAAGGTTCCTCAAATAATGCACTGCTAAAAGCACACAGATAACTCATGTGATTACATCTAAAACATATTGATTAATTGAATCACACTTAAGAACATCTTACAAAATATGGAGTATTAAAAAACACAAGCAATCCTTTTCATTGTCATGTGCTCCACTCTCACACAGAGACAGAGACAATCTCTACTCACAATTCTGGGAGAAAAAAATAGAGATATATTATTTGGTATGTAGTGTATCAGATGCAGAAAGCCTGTTGTCTCAGACTCACGAATGTGGTGTAGGAAAGTAACACATGAACCTGCATAATAAGACCAAATCAGTATGAAATTGTATGGTTATTGCACATGTATAAACAATATTTTGTTTTAACTATTAATCTATTAAAAACTATTAATCTCTAAATCTAAAAGTTTCTGAATTAAAACTGAGAACGACAATCCTCACACTGAACACTTTGTTCCCTCAAGTTCGTTATAAAATAGTACTAAGTAGTCTTAAAAGTCACTCATATTCTCTAACCAACTCACATTTTAGAAAGACATATTCATCTCTCAAGTACTAATACAAACAACTGTCACCTATGTGGTGGAAAGAACATTTAATCCTAAAATTAGTCCATTCATCAATAAGGATTTCTAACTATACAAAATGCACTAAACACAACTTCTAAAAGAAAAGCTACACAGATTTATAGTTGAATAATATTTCGTACATGAATCTTTTCTCAGTACAAAGGATAATTTGGATGTGTTTTAAAAAATAATACTCAAAATATGAGTCAGGAGCTCAGACAGTATAACTAGTGGCTCCTTCCGCTTTAGTTTAAAATGCTGATTTGACCCTCTCACTAGAATCAAAGTAGTATACTAAGTTACAAATTTATATTGAGACTTTTTTAATGAGTAATAAACAATCCTACTAAATTATTAGGTATTACTTCATTAACTATTCAATCACACCTGTTTTCTATCACGATCATCTGGTAAAAGACCACAAGCAAAAACCTGATTAGTAAATGTAAATAACCACAGGAAACAAATCTGCAATTGTAACCAAATCAAAGATGAAAAAATTAGGGAAAATGATTGATTGATGTTAAAGTCCTGAGTCAATAACTTAAATGTAATTTAAATCATTATTAAGTAAATTCATGAGAACTTCCTCTCATCAGAGTTTTTTAAGGAAATCTCTTGCCCATCCTTTCCTACAGGCCCAGATTTATGCACAACATTTTCATGGGTATGGCAGCACCTTATTATCCTACCCAGTAACCACTTTCCATATGTAAGCAGCAACAGGATATTTGATCGTGAGGCATCTCAGCTCCACTTGGACTTGTCATCAAGCGGTATTCACTCACATCATGCTCCCCTGGTGCAGAATGACTTCAACACAAAGATCAAGCAAAACTCAAGAGTACAGTTCAGAATTGAGATCTTCTCAATTCACTAACTTGAAAATGGTAATATGCTTATAGCAGAACTTGATTTAAAAATAAATTGTATTGATGCATGTCAGGTTACAAAGGGGCTATGCTCCGAAAGCTTGTGATTTCATATAAACTTGTTGGACTATAACCTGATGTCATGTGACTTCAGACTTCGTCCACCCCAGTCCAACACCTCCACATTACTGCTACATCATGTTGTTGACTTCAGAAAGTGATTCAGAGAAACTATTTTCTGTGGTTGAATGATCCAGAATGAAAGGGCAGAACTTTAAACTTAGAGGTTTATTATTTAGGAGTGAAATCAGGAAGCACTTTTCAACAAAGGCCAAAGAAACTCTAAAGCAGCTATACATGCTGGGTCAATTCAAATTTTAAGAATGGAATTGATAAACTTTTCTTAAATAATATTAAAGACAGATATCACAGACTCAGTGGCCTCTCTTTTCCCTATATCGCTGCAAAGTCTCTTTTATACAAACATACTTGAAAGCTGGACACTGATGCACTGTATGATACCCAAAAAGCCATCCAGACACATACCAGTCAGTTATAGGAGTTAGATAATTTGAACCATGCTGTATTGAAAACCAAACATAGGGTAGTAATTACCTAGATTGCTTAAAACACAGGAGTTTTACTGCTTACCATTACTAAACTGTTAAGCGCTCAACCCACTTGGCATCGAACATCAATGTTAGAATTACTTTGAAATGTGTAGAGCCAAGAGATAAATGAATACAGTGTCAACGCAGCAGAATACTGACGAAGAAGTTTTGCAAAAGGCAAACACCTAGGTTGAGCTCTGGGATTATATTACATGAATACAAGAAAAAATTGATGTAGTGTTCACAGGCCATACTTGGTCAGACAAGTTAAATAGAAGCTAATAATTCCCACATTTCAGAAAAGTAGGTTTGCCAATTGAAATTCTTATTGTGACCTGGCTTATTTTCAGAACAGGGCAAAATTAGCCAAAGGCAATCTAAACAGCATGTCAGGCCAAAATAAACAGCCAGGTGTATAGACAGTCATTGAACACCAGAATATCACAAGTCTTCCAAATTGCAACATCAGGTGCATAACTGCTTAGCATATGGCACCACAAGCAATTTCAAATACACATCTTATTGAAAACAAACAACAGCTAAAAAATTTAAAATTAGACAATCCTAGTTAACACGATAGATGGAGAAATTATCCATTCAATATATTTTCGTAAATAATACAACAATCGGTTTCTTATATTCATTTGAAAGTAGCAACACATTCAAATGTATAGACTCTATGAAGTTATTTTCACTCATACGAATTCAGGAAAATGACAATTTATCCCATTACACTGAAACCACAGAGTAAATTAATTTTTAGAATAGTGGAATAGCAATCAAGAGATTGACAGACCAAATCCAACAGTGGTAAATTGTGAAATTTAATTCAACAAATCTGGTCATTTATAAGTTGCCATTAGAAAATTGGCCCACATTTCAAGCCTACAATTCAAAAACAGCTTGAGAATAAAAGAAAAAACTTGATGCAAGGATCTGATTTGCAAACACTGGACAAGGACAGCTATGTGGAACAAGTAAGTCTTTCTAGCACAGTTGTGGGTCAGGAGTAGCAGCTATGCTATTCCTGGTAAGCAAACACACCCAAAAAATATAATTTCCTTCTGTTATCCTCCTTGACCCAAAATCCCTAATTGAAAACTCAATTTAATATCAAATTTGTTTAGTTCTTACCTGCCAGGTTTGTTTATGTATTTTTGGAGCCGAGCCTTCACTTCATCATAGGTGAGAAAAGCCATGTAGCCAGGGTGGGTCACAGCCAAGAAATTCCAATTCCGTAAAATAGAGGTCCAAGGCTAACAATGAAAAACAGTTAATTCGTTCCCCTGAACATACAAAGCAACTGATTCAGCTTTTAAAGTAGAGAAAGAAAGACTAAATAAATGCTAAATTTTAAAACAAAAAACCTTTAAACTATTGTAAATCTATTGTAAATAAATCAAGAGAGGGCGATGCAAGGTAGCAGTCTATTTCTTGAATCTTTGCATTCTGACAGCAATAGCGAGAGTACCCGAAGGCCAGCTGTGCCACTTAGATGACTAATTAAGGGCCTCTTCCAGCAATTGGCTGTACATTGGTGGCTAGTGGGATTTCTGCCACTTAGAAAAGTCACCTGGTTAAACTTGACAGCCTCCCTACTGGCTCAGTTCAGGAGCAGTGTGGCCTTCCTAATTATGCAGCAAATGTAGGAAGGTACCTCCAGTGGCACTGCTCACTCTGGACAATACCACTATCCCTTCAACAGTCACGCTGCACAAAAGTCCACCTGACAAGTTAGCAGATGGTCAGGGACAACCCCATCTCAGTTTTCCAACCTGTCAACAGGGTCAGTACTACTCCAACAAAAGCCAATCCTTCATGATAATTCGGAATTAATGTGCCCTTAAGGCTATCTGTGCAACAACAGGAAAAAAAATTACATCTCTGTTCAGTCAAACAAAAAACATTTCATAATTTTTTTTTCAAAAAGTTCAAATCTTCCATTGGACAAAACTCAAAATAATTAAATTTCTCCCCTTAACTATAGTTTCTCATTCCTGGCTGTATCTTAACAAAGTTCCCAAAGTTTTAATGTGCTTTCAGTAATTGGATATTCAAAACCACAATCATTACACTAAGGAATATTTTGGGCAAGTGTATCACATAAGCATGTACTCTGTTTCACTATGTCGCTGCTTAGGGAACCCAGTTAGAATGTCATCAGGAACAATTAATTTTTAATTGCAAACTTTATTGTGCTTACTTTTTATTTTGTTTTGCCACTTCCATGCCATATTCCTCTATTACTTTTTAAAATTCATTCATGAAACGTAGGCGTTGCTGGCTGACCAGCATTTATTGCCCATCCCCAGTTGCCCTCGAGAAGGTAGTGGTGAGCTGCCTTCTTGAGCGACTGCAGTCCATGTACAATAGGTGGATCCATAATGCTCTAAGGGAGGGAATTCTAGAATTTTGACCCAGCGACAGTGAAGGAATAGTGACATATTTCCACGTCAGGGTGGCGAGTGGCTTGGAGAGGAACTTGCAGCTAGTGGTGTTCCCATGTATCTGCTGCTTTTGTCCTTCTAGATGGAAGTGGTCGTGGGTTTGGAAGGTGCAGCCTGAGGATCTTCTAAGGCGGATATCCATGGTGTGGATAGTTCACACTGCTGCTACGGAGCATCGGTGGTGAAGGAAGTGAATGTTTCTGGATGTGGTGCCAATCAAGCAGCCTGCTTTGTCCTGGGTGGTGTCAAGCTTCTTGAGTCTTGTTGGAGCTGCTTCCATCCAGGCGAGTGGGGTGTATTCTATCACATTCCTGACATGTGCCTTGTGGATGATGGAAAGGTTTTGGAGAGTCTGGAGTGTGTTACAGCATTCCTAGCCTCTGACCTGCCCTGCCCTCATAGCCACTGTTTATGTGGCCAGTCCAATTGAGTTTCTGGTCAATAGTAACCCTCAGGATGTTGGTGGTCAAGGATTCAGTGATGGTAACCCTACTGAATATCAAGGGGCAGTAGTTAGATTGTCTCTTATTGGTGATGGCCATTGCCTGGCATTTGTGTGGCACAGATGTTACTTGCCACTTGTCAATCCAAGCCTGGATATTTTCTAGATCTTGTTACATTTGAACATGGACTGCTTCAGTATCTGAGGAGTTGTGAATGGTGCTGAGCGTTGTGCAATCATTGCTGAACATCCCTACTTCTGACCTTATGATGCAGGGAAGGTTTTTGATGGAACAGCCAAAGATGGTTGGGCCTAGGTCACTATCCTGATGAACCCCTGGAGCTGAGATGATTGACCTCCAACAATCACAACCATCTTCCAATGTGCCAGGCAGGACTCCATAATCCATTTCTTAACCAATGGTAAAGCAGATCCCAATATATCTATTGGTATTCAATATTTTCCATTACTTTTTAAATAATGGCAGCAGTCCAAGGCTAGCACATCCACTCATCCAACTGGAAGGAAAAATAGTTACTGCTGGTACTCAAAAGGAACTCTGTCTACTTACAGACATGTCCCCAAAGTTTTATAAATTTACTTCTCAAATATATTTTCTAAATGTGTCACATCAATACAGTCCATAGTTTATTGCCCCACACTGTGCCCATCCTGGAATTATTACATTCATTACTTAATGAAGGGACAGAACGGGACACAATATTTTACCAAATAAATGGGAACCTGCTACCTGCACACATTTACTTGGAAGCCTGCACCATGTCAAAAATACCTTTTTGGTTTAAATTATTGGAACAGGATCATACATATCTTTCAGAATATTTTTTACAACCACATTGCTGGCTACCAATATACATTATTGACAGCATCAAACAATACAGTTTAGTTACTCTGTTTGTTAAATACAGAATTTCCATCCTGTACTGTAACGTAGTATTCCATTAAGTTGCATCATATTTTTGTATCAAGAGGATCCGTGTTTTACAGTGTTTTATTACTAATGCATTTTTGAAAGAAAACAATATACCATCAGAATCTTCATTACTTCCACCATTTCTAGTAATATACCCAAGGAACTGAGGGGCAGCCAGCAAAGTTCTTTCTTTAAAACAAAAAGAGTAGCCAAAAATATTGCCAATGTACAATAAACACATGATGCTTTTTTTTGTCACGGCATATTATGGAATTTTAACACAAAGTTTGCACCACCTCCTGCAACAGACCATTCAGAGAACGGTGGGGCAATGAACAAGTTAGGAAATGAAGGAATTTATAACAATCTATTAAAAATCTTGTGGAAGCTTAGCCTGTTCAATCAAATCTTTGTTCAGAACATTATGTCACTGTACATGCAAAAACAATTTAAGATACACGTTACATGAGTGCGCCCCTCATTGACATTAAGTTCCCAGTTGCAGGTAAAAAGCAAAAAGTGCCCTCAAGAATACGCACGCACACACGCACACACACACACACACACACACACACACACAATCTTCAATAGCTTTACATTTCAAACAAAGCTTCTTCTCTCTGCTACACATCAAAATGTTTCACAGATTAGCACAACTGTTGTCCTCCCAATTTAAAATAAACTGAATAAACACAATATCTAAGATAACAAGGTGTAGAGTTGGATGAACACAGCAGACCAAGCAGCATCAGAGGAGCAGGAAAGCTGACGTTTAGGGTCGAGACCCTTCTTCAGAAATGGGGGAGGGGAAGCGGATTCTGAAAATAAATAGGGAGAGAGGGGGAGGCGGATAGAAGATGGATAAAGGAGAAGAAGGGTCCAGACCCGAAACGTCAGCTTTCCTGCTTGGCCTGCTGTATTCATCCAGCTCTGCACCTTGTTATCTCAGATTCTCCAGCATCGGCAGTTCCTACTAACTCATAAACACAATATCTATTCTCATTTTCAGATAATTATCTTGTAATCATTAACTCACCTGAAACAGTCTGGTGAAGATATCAAATTCAAAGATTGAAATGTAATCATTACACGTCAAATCAATTGTAGACTTCAGAGCCATGGCTTCCAAACCAGAGCTGATAGGATGGACTTCATGAAGGCACTGTCTAAAGACTTTCCATGGCACAATAGTCCTGAAACAGAGAGAATGATAAAAAAACTATTTCTCTTAGCAATGAGCAATGATTTAATATGAAAAAGTACAATTATTTACATAACAAACATTTCTATATTAGCACATAACTCCAATCATTTTTTTCTTGAGTATAATATTTCTTCTTCAAAAGAACATGGCTTCTTAACCAAAATCATTTTTATTGAAATTCTAATCTAGAAAACAAGTGAAATAATAAGTGAAATGTTAAACGTCGATTTGTTTTTCAAACGCACTTTGAAACTGTACAGCTTTTCACAAAATATGCAGCAGTACTGCATGTGTTACCTCTCTAAGCTATGACACTTTACAATTTCTCCTTGCTCAAAAGGTACCAAATTCTATGCACAAAACTTTATTAGCTTGTGTAGTATGGAGTTAAATATATACAAGATGCTGTAGGTATTGTGAAGCATAATAACAACATCCTTATGAAAACTGGATTTGACAGATCAATAACCAGTACAATATCTGATGAGGACTGGAGAGCTTCGAATTCAGAAATAGTTACCTTTCTGTAGTTCTCAAGTACACCCTCACTATCCATTACAAAGGCAATTAGTGAGATAAAGTAACCATTGTGGTTTCAAATTGTGGAATTCAAGGAAAATAAACTTCTATTTCTTTTAAGATAAACAAAGGACCACAAAAGATCTCTTTTGAAAGTCTTGCATTCCTGACTTAAGTGTAAAGAAAGCGTTACTCCTATCCAACCTTGACAACATTATTTGAAATGCATTGTACAATATTAACTTTTCATTTTGACTGAAATTATTTCCATACTCAGAAATGAAGTGCTATCTAGTTAGAAAAGAAAACTGCACATGCTGGAAATCAGAAACAAAAACTGAAATTGCTGAAAAAAACCACAGTAGGTCTGGCAGCACCTGTGGAGGGAAAAGCAGAGTTAACATTTTCAGTGACTCTTTTTAACGGCTGAAGACCCTTCAGCTTACTGTGTTTCCTGTATTTCTGTTTTTGATTTTGCTATCTAGCTAACTTTTGCTTAAAATTACAAATTTAGAAACAACAAATAAATCTGTTCTAAAGAGGATTTTCTTTTCAATTATCAACAGTAAATGATTATGAAATGTGTACAATTCTGTGAACAAAATGACAATCAAAGTGAGTGCTAAAAGTTTTGCACGCTTTTCAACAAAATCTCAGCATAAACTTGGTTAATTACATTACGTGCACTCAGGTCTCCCTGCATCTGAAGCAACGAAAAGCAACACTCTAATTTCTGTTTGTATTTCCATGGAGCACAAAGAAGCAGTTCTATTAAACCTACTAATGAAATACTGAAATTTCATTCAATCTCACTTCAAGTCAATTCATCCAGGTAAATTAAAAACTAGTGAAGTTAAATAATCTGGTCACGAAGATGATATGAAAAATGAAACTAATGCAACCTCCAATACAACAAATTAAGGAAGTCAAAAACTCTGGAAAAACCCATGTTACTGATGACCAATCATGTAACAAATATCAATTTAAACTCAACACTGTTCAGTATCCTCTCTCTTCAAACCACAAACCACAAGTGTCACCACTCTGTTGTCCACTAATCATTAAAAAAAGGATGCAAACTTGGTTATATAGGGACATTAGACTGAGGTAAACAACAAAAACTTGGTGCAGAACCAGTTGTGAAATGCTGACCACTTTGAGGGGATAGAAATCCTGTATGACACACTGAAAACCGGTTAGTGGGGACTGTTGTCTCACTTTCCAAAGGGACACAGAAATAATGATTATAGTTATACTGCAGAATTATGCATAAAATCACTAGCATTTTGCTGAGAAATCACAAAAAGTCACCAAATGCTCTAAAACAAAATTTTCACTCCATTAATAATCTCAATTTTATTCTTGAACTAAATGGTGCTCTTCAAATTATTTATCAATTTTGTCAGAAATCTTAAATTAAGTGACTCTCTTCCATGACATTAGGAAGTTCCCATTCAATTAACTTCTTGTTTAATTTTACAAAAAAGACTTCCAATAGTTTTGACCTCCACAATATGTTCTTACAAAACTACAAAGTTCCCAAAAGGGACTTCACATTTTGGGCACAATGCATATCCTACATAGGACCAGGATCATTACAATGGGGGAAGGGTAAACAAGGATGGTTGAAAAGTAGTTGAAAACAAAATTAATAAATGTGAATTAGACGAGTGAAAATAAAAACGCAGAAGTAACAATAGAATATAAGGAGGAACTGAAATAAGTAAGAAAATGTGCAATGTCATTAAAATAAATTTTAAAAAACACAAATATTTCTGGCTCAATCTCAATACTACATAAGTGAATGAGGTTTCAGCAAATTAAATTATTTCCTATAATTTTGTTGCTTGTAAAAACAAGAAGTCAGACTTGAAAGCTTGTCCCTATACATTACCAGGAGCACAGACTTGGGATATACCCAAAATTTCAATTTTTTTTTTAATGTACAGGAATTACATGAGGAAAATGACAATGTATCATAGTCTTCAATGCTCTCCACCTGTCAGATACAACACCAGATGCTTCATCAACAGGAAACCACTCAGCCCCCTGCTGAAATACCCCATCAGATGAAACACAGAAGTGACGTCTTTCATACAGCAAGTGAAAAGGTTATATCTTTAAGAAATCGCTGCCACACAAAATGATTTGATTCTACAATGTCCTTAATATAAAGCTCCAGCGGTCGATTCTAGGAGTATTAATGAAATGCATTGCACATCATTCAGCCATGCTGTCTCAGGTGCAGACTAACAGAGGAAAACGTTAACTCAAAGATTACGACATATTCACTGTACAATGTTTCCGATGTTCAGTAACACCACTACTTCATTTTCTGGCTTTAGTGAACATAATTCTAGGTACTTGGTAACTGATTTGAACAAAAGTACTCTTCTCCCAGACATGTCAAAGTCGTAAGTTTGAATACTCTCATGACTGGCACTAATTTTGGCAACACAAAGCCAACTAATGCATTAACTAAACAGTGATAGACAGCAGATAGACTGTTACTAAAAACTGTACTTCCTAACTTTTGCAAAGCAGTAATCCCCATTGAACTCTATTTATATTATACACCTTAACTGCCACAGTGTGTTTATAATAATTCAGCAAATATTTTAATCTTCCACCAAACACAAACGTACAAACAAAATGGACATCAACCTTATTGCAGATATCTTACGCTACGTATTTGGGAATACAAAATTTGTACAAGATTAAAGACAACATATCTTTTTTTTTTGATGATGCAAACCCGTTTCAAGATGTGAAAAATATCAGTATTGCCGACTGTCTATAACAGTCTTCTTTGAAAAATAATGAATTGAAATCATTAACGTGAAAAACTCACTGTGTTATTTGAACATAGGCTGGTAAAGTATATTATCAGCCTCAGCTGAATTGCAAAGCCACTGTCTCTAAAATAGCAAATTTTTGATGGATCAGGACCACAAATGTATATGATGCATGTTCGTTATGGCAAATAGGCTGGCACCATTGTGTTACCAAAAGAAGAAAACACTCAATAGCGAGGGCTCAAACCTACACGTAAGAAGCATAGAGCAAATATTTTGTAAATATTGTAGATCTGTACAGCTGCAAATGCGGAAACACCTATTATTTTTTGATAGGACAAGAATATGATTTGATATTGTAATATCATATTAGTTTCTGTACAGAGAAAGGTACAGTAGTGAGATCTGAACATTGGAAGTTACAGTTCAGTTAAACAGCTGAAAACTTAATTTTTAAAAGATTGCACAACATTGAGATAATTCATAGCATTCAGCCATACTAAACTGAGAGAGAGCTGCCTCAACTGAAAATGCCCTCAATAAAGTTACCTAAAGCTTGACACTTTTTAAGCATATGTACAGCACCGTTTCGCAGGCTACAATGAATACAAAGTGACAGAACTTTCTCCCAATAACATTGTGTGGTATCTACCTTCCATTTTGCAAACAAAGGCCTCAAAGTCTGCAAGTTTAACTTTTCTGTGATTACCATTCAGGGTTAAAATGGAGAATTAACATAATTTGAAGCAAATCAATTCGCTGTAATGCAGCCAAGTCCTAAAATGTGCCAAGAAGGGAGCGTTTATCACAAACAATGTTCTAGATTGTTCAAGATCTCCACAATCATAAGGCAATCTTAATTGAGTTTAGTCTAGACTTCCAGAGTCAGTGCTTTTGCATTATTGACGCATTGCCACTTTCAAACTAAACCTGAAAGGATATTAAAAGTACTGTTCTTGTCTATTCAAAGGTCATCTCTACCCTGCTTCCTTCAAGATGCCCAAGGTTCTAGCACAATACCACCCAAAGCATACAGCCTGGGGAAGTTACGCCAAACTGCTCTACCTCAGGATAGTTCTATTCATTGCCCATGATAATGAGCACATCATGTGTATTCTCTGCTACCCTCTAGCAAAAACAACCTCTACAAAGCAGGAATTTAAGCAAGATGCTTGGCTTGCAGGAGTCAATCAGCACTGTTTAGATGCTCTACATCTCTGTCATAAACGAATGCCCTTGAAAATTGAGATTCAAGTCACACTAAGGTAGACATATAATCCTGCATAACTCAACACTGATGCTCTGGCCAAGAAACTGAACATGAGATTGTTGGTGCTAAGGAAACAATTTAAAATACTTTCTTTGCCATTAATTTTAAGTTAATGTTTTGAAAGTATAAAGCAAGCAGAATTTAAGCACCAAGACAGCTCCCAGGATAGTAGTGTGTATGTTCATACTCAAAATCTGGCTGGATGATGCCACGAAGCTCTGAACACTGCATGTGCGTAGGCAGTGATCCCTTGTACCGGAGAGAACCCAGCAATAACTGCAAACTCAGCAGCTTGGGTACCTTGGTTGTCTGAGTTTCTCCTGAACAGGCCAAACGGTTTTACTTTCCTGTTAAGGCACTCAATGAATGAGACTTTTTTTAAATATCTGACAGGAAAAAGTCACT